ATCGATTAACTTTCTTTCCTGTACTCCATCCAGCACCATTACAAACTAAAGTTGATCGAGTACTACTAGTCACTATAGTACACTACTTTGTTGATCCATTAGTGATTGATGTAATATTCAAGCAAATCATTAATTAGTACTGATGCATCTTATGTGTGTGCGTGAGAAATTAAATCTCTCAACGAATGTTTGTATATGCAGGCGCATGCTGAGCTACCTAGTACTGGAATCTGAACATGCTGCTCCTTTTCTTTCTTTGATTCTAGAATACTGCTCATCTAGTTGTAACAGAAAAGTTTGCAATAACTGAAATACAGTAAAAGTTGGTAGATATCATCGATAGTCAGCTGATCAATGAAGGGGATACTAAAATTTCCCAGATTTTTTTTTGAATTAATGGGTTTCTTTTGTGTGTGTGGTTAATTTCCCAGAGTACTGCTGGCTTAGTAGTACCAAATTTAATTTACTGACTACTCCAGAAAGATCAACACTTAACATACTCTAGATCAATTAGCTAGGTAGACATCAAACCATATTAACCATATAATAATACCACTACTTTAACAAAACTGGCATAAATACATTTTTTGTAAGGCAAACCAGACGTGCCTCAAATCACTTTTGCATGATACTAGGTGACAACCACAAAAAAAAATTCAGTGTTTGCTTGTGAAAACATTTTCACCTGTATAACAGGTATACACCTATATGGCACAGTGTATGTGTATGAACTGTTGTGTTTTTTTCTTCAAAAAGGAAAAAAGAACTGTTGTGCTTTGCTTTTCCATTTCATAAAAAAATCTAAAAAGAAAATACTCGTAGATAACCGTATTTAGGTATTCTTATATCGGTAACAACTACTCCCTCTGTTTTAGGCTATAAGACGTTTTGACTTTGGTAAAAGTCAAACGGTTTTAAGTTTGACCAAGTTTATAGAAAAAAGTAGTAACATTTTTAACCCAAGACAAATTTATTATGAAAATACATTCAATTATTGATTTGATGAAACTAATTTAGTATTATAAATATTATTATATTTATCTATAAACTTAGTTAATCTTGAAACAGTTTGATTTTGACCAAAGTCAAAACATCTTATAACCTGAAACGGAGGAAGTCGACAACATATTTTGCATTCAATATATATTACTCCATCCGTTCCAAACATAAGTAATTTTTGCATAGTGTCAAGTTAAATATTTTTAACTTTAAGTATTAATGACAAAAAAATAAAAAAGATCAATCATGTAAAATTGATATTACTAGATCTATCATTAAACAAACTATCATGTAACTCTTTTTATTTAAAACATTTTATTTTATAGACATTGTTGGTTAAAGTAGTATGTCCAAGTTAAAAATTACTTATATTTTGAGATGGAGTATTTTGAGATGGAGGGAGGAGGTCACTTCTATTTTCTTGTAGGCCTCAACATTCCAACGTCGCAAAGCATGCACGATGGGCAATCATCAAGGACAGGGACCTTGGATCCACCATGCAATGTGCCATGCACCTTTTGACCTTTAATTTGCATGCATGATTGCCAAGCAAATCCCCATATAGAGTTTCATCCGAAATAGTTTAACCAGTGGGTGAAATCATATACCTACGACTAATTAACATAAATAAAAAATAATTTAACATAGCTTGTAAAGTCATGTACCGATAATCCAATAGCTCTGACACCACGTCCAAGGTGATTATCCTCGGTTCCTCACAATAAGTGATTTTTGCAGAACTTTATAAGATTCAATTTAGTTTCTCTGGGAAATTGGAAAAAAAATATAAGAGAGTGTGTGTTTAGAGACATGCCTAATCTAGAAGAAAAAACAACAATGGCGTTATATGGGGCCTAATTGTTTTCCCAATTTGTGATCTCGGACTTGCTTCCACGCAAGCAGGGTATGGTTAGGTGGGTTTTTCCGTTTTCACGAAATTCTTCCAAAATTAAACTATGTAAGTTGGTTAGTAGTATACTAGATTATGTGAACTAAAGTCATTTTTATGGGAGACGCAGATCAGGGCCCTACTGATAAACTATTCTTGGAATATGTGTCCCCCCTGATTAATTATAAGAGCAAGTGAGATTATTTTAGTAGCAGGTGCAGCTAAGATTTAGCCAAATCTGCTTGAAAAAACCGTGCTTTCAGCAACCTTTCTGGTTCAACACATGATTAAAATAGAGAATGCATACTAATTTAACTTTTCTAGTAGGAAGATTTCTAAACATGACTTATTCTGTCATTAATGGAACGGATTAAATTGCTTCTTTTTCATGATGCTTACAAAGCAAAAGGTCAGGTAAAGACATTTATTGGTGCGTCACAAAATACAGAGTTAACTTACCAGTTACCAGCAAATTGCCATAAAGAACATTGAACACTGAATTGACCAGTTTTTTTACAGGTGAACATTTACTTAAAGCATGCCAAAAAGTGTACTACTTGTTTAACATAACACCTAACATAAACATGCAGCCCCATCGTTTAGCTTATTCGAGAAATAAGCGAAACAACATATTTGCAAACCAAAAATAATTTATTAATAAAATTTTTATATATGTGTTCTTAATGATCTAAAATTAAGGTTGAAAAATAAACTTCGATGAAAAAAAAATCCCAAAATCAACTCCAAATTTAAGTTTAAAAATTCAAATTTTGATTAAGCGAAAAGATAAGTCCGATTGTGACATTGTTTTCACTGAGGGTTATCAGCTCCAACAACTCTTATCTAAACTCCTCAGCAAAATCGGGGAAAGGCTGAAAGAACCACTTAAACTCAGACAGATTAACACATTTCTATCATCGTATTTCCAAACTAAAATCCAACTACTGCTCATAAGTTCCTATCACCTTTATTATTAGTGGTGGAGTTTGAGCTAACTTTTTAAAGGGACCAACAGTTAAAAGGAGAATGAAATACATAATATTTATGGGACCATTTTACAGTGTCTCCATAATCCTTTGTCCCGATTCAACTTGGCCTTTATACATTTTAATTTTTTTTCACAATGCACAATTGTTTCATATACTTGTAAAATGGTTGCAACTAATCCAACAACTTCACTTCAATGCCTGCACCATATCTTCTGCAACTTTTAAGCCACTTCTGCTGCCATTTGTCTCCTTCCCTGTGACTGAAGTTCTTGAACTGAAATAAAGAAAAAGAAAGTGTTAAAGATACAAACAAAAATACTCCTACTCCTAGGCTACTCCTCCAAGTTGTAGTAACAGTAAAAGTAGAAAAATAAAAAAAGAGAGGAAGAAGTTAAAGCTTGAGCTGAACATTTGGGGCATTGTGCCAACTCTGACTGCCTGCCTGAGACTGACTGACTGGTTAATTGCTCTCTGTGATGGTATGGGCGGCTGTGATTTTGCCAGGGTCGTTGATCAATCACCGTCCGATTGTATGGTGTGTGTGATTAGTCCAAGGTAGTCAAGCTGGGCAGGAGTGAGTTGAGGCTTGTAAAAAAAAAAAAAGGTTTTTAAATTGTTCCTCCCTTGTCCAAAGTGAAAAGGGGAGGGGGAGGGACCACTTTGAAAGAAAAAAAAGAGCAGCTCAGCAAGCAATGGCATTTTGCATAAAGGCCCCTGGAGGAATAATTGGGGATACACCCCCAAGTGTGTATTTATTTGGAAAGGACTCTACTTTGGATGAAATGTGCATAGGTTTAGCATACATTACATCTGTTTTTTTAATATATGACGCCGTTGAGTATTTATAAACGTTTGTCTTATTCAATTTTTTTTGTGCAAATATAAAAAACTTAAATCATGCTTAAAGAACATTTGATGACAAATCAAGTCACAATAAAATAAATACTTCCTCCGTTTCATATTATAAGATTTTCTAGCATTACCCACATTATTTTTTGTGTGCCTAGATTCATTAATATCTATATGAATGTGGACAATGCTAGAAAGTCTTATAACCTGAAACGGAGGAAGTAATACTTATATTATTTTTTGAATAAGATGAATTTTCAAACGTATCTTAAAAATCAACGACACCATATATTAAAAAGGGTGGGAGTATTGGTTATGCTCAACAGAACATGCGGAAATAACTTATAATTTATCCATTCTATTTGGGAATTTAAACTTTTGTTTCTATGAGAACCATATAAAATTATTGCAAGCTAAACAATGCTAAATTGCTCAGTTGATCAGGAGTTACCCATGGGCCATGAGTAAGTTATAATCCATATTTCATATCATGCAATGATCTAAGTTAATTAATAATATAACATAAATTGGGAGCTCGGTTGGAACACATGATTTCCAAAACATAAGGATTAAAAAAACATAAAATTTGCTTGACACCTCAAATTCTATGGATGAAAAATAGAGAAAAACCATGAATCAAAAGAGAGATAAATATTTTTTTCTAAGAGATTGGACCTCATGTTTAAAAAAATCCTCCAAAATCCCTATGCTTGAGGCAATCTTAAGGAATTTCATAGGATTTTGGAACAAGTATTCCATTGTTTCACATAAACATGTACGTAAAAAAATTCATAGAATTTGAACCCTATATAATTCATCCAAAATTGCTTTGCTCCAAATTAGCCCTAAAAGAAAAAAACACTAGCACATAACTACAGATAATGTTAGATAAAAGATTATGTTGGCGAGAAAAGTCACATTTACAGCTACTAGCAATATATTTGTACATCACAATGGACCATACAGCCGAGGATAAAGCCAATGCCCAGGAGTGTGAATCGAGCAAAAGGTTCCAATCCAACCGTTTGTTTTAACCAACTATTTCTATTTAGTTTTCTATCACTCAATAATTTTCATGGTTTTCTTCCGTGGAGACGTGTTACACACCTAAGGGAAGGAAGACGACTACGCTTTTTCAGCACGAGAGAAATGACCCTTGTGCTATCATAATTCCTTCCACTTGGATGGACCAGAAAATCCAAATGAGGAAAATGACAAGGGCTATACTGCAAATCTGCTCACCTCCTACCTAGAGAGACAGAGAGAGAGAGAGTCCCTCAGCTTTGCTGCGTTGTTCTTACTTCCTCCCATGGAGTACAAAAGGCAACAAGCAGAAAACGTTGCGTTCACACCACCACCACCAAGGAGGCCAGGACAGCAAGACCAGGCCTGGGCTGTAGCTAGCTAGCTAGCTTGTAGAGAAAGAGAGAGAAACACTGGAGCTTTAGAGAGAGAGAGAGAGAGCAAGAAGAGCTGAAGAGGAGGAGGAAGAGCTAGCTATCCTATGGTGCTAGCTGTAGCTAGCTCCGACGACTGAGGTGAGGAGACGCAATGGCGGGGAGATGCGCCGGCGGCGGCGACGGCGGCGGCGAGGGCATGCTGGCGCGGCTGCGGAGGGCGGCAGCCAGGCGGATCGGGCTCTCCTGCGCCTCCTTCTTCTCCCACGCCGCCACCTCCCCTTCCCCGCCTCCCAAGACCGTATGCATTCTCTCTCTACATTTCATAGATTTTCTTTTCTTTTCTAACGGTTCAGATATAATTTAGCAGCAATTTGTTCTTAAGAAAGAGTCCAGCTACCCAAAATGCCTCATTTTTTTTCTGCATTTTGGGGTGTTTCTTCCCAGTTGGTAGATGTTCAAGATACACTAAGAAGGGAAAAAAATGAGGCTGTTTTTTTTTCTTTTCTGTGGTTAATTAAGTTTTGGGATTTTGTTTTCACCATCAATGTATCGGTTTCTGGTTGTTCTTGGCTTTCAGTTTCTTGCTATGTTTTGGGACTGGGCATTTTTTGTCTCTCTACTACCATCTGCAGGTGATTTTCAAGTTCCTTTCCTTCTAGCAGTAAAACTCAATGAGCTGTCACTGCCTGTCCTTTTCACCTCCCACATTGCAACCCTGCTTGATTCTCTCCTTCCATTTCAGATGTTGTTTCATCAAAAGCAAAAAAGAAAAAAAAAGGTCTCCCATTGCCACATCTCCTTGCATTTTTTTCCAAAAGAGAAAAATCTCCTCCCCTAGTGGCCTGCTGCATTGCTGTTTTGCATTTTCCAACAGAAAGATATGTCCTGGTTTGTTTTGGTGATCTTGGCCTACAAAATTTTGTGGTTAAAGTTACATACGTTTGAACATTTAAACTTTGCTTCTCGTTTTTTATACTTTTCTTTTGGGCATTCTAGAAATGAGTATCTTGCATGCCCTTCTATTTTATCTGTATTCTGTACTGAAGTTCCAACCAGAATGAGGTGTGTACTCCTTTTGCATTTCCCCCCTTTTCTTGAGTTTGCGTTGTGAACAGTGTGCTAACAGTGGCTGTGTGTGGCCTACCTGGTTTATTTGATACTGATCATTCATTTATTGGAATTATTGTTCTAGGAGTAGCTCTCATCCATCCCATCTTGTACTAGTATCCTGAGAAAAAAGAATTGCAATAGGGGGGGGGGGGGTACCATTCTTGTGGTTCGGTCCATGTTTATGGTCCCTTCATTTTTCTCCCAGAGATCTACTTTGGATCTACAATTCTAGACATATATAGTAGTAGTAGTAGTAGTTTGATGTTAAAAGCTGTGAACAAGTTGTATTTTGGGTTTATTTATACTTGAGATATTTTTTTTTTGTTGTTGTTTCAGTTGTTGGTGAAAGTTGTGCATTCTCTCTGGTCTTCGTACATTTTCCACGTAGACCGTCTGTTGATGGTTGTTGCGAATTGGGCACATATTTCCACGGAGCTTTTATGTCTTCCCTTTTCCTCAATTTTTTTTTTAAAAATGGGCATTTATATTTCTTTATCCTCCCGAAGTTGTGTTTTCTTGGAATTGGTTATCATCTTTACATATTGTCCACTTATCGGTGCATTGTACTACCTTGCTAACAAACTCTAGATTAATATCTTTCTTCAGTAACTTAACTGTTATTAGTGTTAATGTGTAGGCACTAGGCAGTACTGTTACTGTATGAGATCAGTGTGTGGGGACTGAATTGTGTGTCTAGATTTTCTCGCTTAACAGTTACCAAACATTGTCGATGCCCATGTGCATTTTATCATATCATTGATAGGTAAATAGGAGGGGAAAGTACCAAAATACACTGGAGGAGACAATCTTGTTTTTCATTTACTTTTTCTGATGTAGAAGCAGATTATTCTACTAGTCAAGAACAGTAGGTATTTTGCCTATTAGCTGTATTGCAATGTAGTAACAGATTGTGGTGTGTATGCAGATCTCATGCTCAGCACTGAATGCGCCTGCAGACAGCACTGATGAAGACCAGGAAAAGCTGGAGGAGCCCACTAGCACAAGAATGGCTGACAAGGTGCCATCCCTATGTCCATTTTCCTCCTTTTCATGTTCTGGACCACAACTGCATGGATCCACTATGGAGTTTTCTATATGTAAATGTGTTTCTCTAACCAAGTAGTATAATTATGTTTATATTTAACCTCCTATTAACTTGAGAATAAATCAGAGTTATGCTTGACTGCCATCAGGAATTAACAACTGAGCAAGAAGACAGGCTAAAAAGAAGAATTGGGTTAAGCGGTTGATTGCAATAGGAAATATTATTGTTTATATAGATTCCTCAGCGTTGAAGGTTGTTGATGCTCTAGATGATTACCTCTGAAATAACCTATTCTGGTTAGCCAAAGTGTATTGTCAAATGTTGAATCATGATGATCTAGCCAATGTGGTTAGCGTTTTGCCATTTCCACGACTACATGTTTTGTTTTGAAGAAAAAACAGTGACGCTATTGTAAGCATTTTCTTAAAAAAGTATGTACCAATTTATTTAGTGAAAATGATGGGTTGCATGGCCATCCACTAGCATCTACCATTGGGCCATATAAGCGTTATGTTTTTTTGTTAGTTTCAATAAGTTGGGAGCTTTAGTACTTTTTGGTGGCAATTGGTGAACAATTATGTGGTCTCCCAGATAACATGATAATTGTTTCCCTAGTGCCACATAAAGGTACAAACAATAACAGGTAAATACCTTACGACACATTGCAACCAACATGTCAATGCATCAGTATTACAGAAATCTTGAGGAAGACATGTTCTTTTTTTATTTGTCTAACAGAGAATTTGGAATGTCGGGGCTATTGGCCATGCATATTATGCATGATGCCTTCTGCATGAATTAATTCATATGTAAGTCATGATGCATATAAATATAATCAGCTTGTTTGTTTCAGTAGTACAAGAATAGTTCTGCAAAGATTGAAATGTAGTTTGTGAAGATTAGCTTCGATTGGATGCATGTTTTTGGAATTTTTTTTGTTTGCTAACAGACCATGAAAAATTCATACAATGAATAATTAAAAAACAAAATATGTCCGCGTCGTAATAATCGATGAATAGTTCTCTGTCCAGGAATTCGCTCTATAATGAGTAGTTTCCATTGTTTTATAATAAGTGTAGTGATTCTTTTATGGTAAGTTATTTGATATGCGATTTTACTTTATACTCTCATCTGATGTGTATTCTGATAAATAATACCATTAATTGTAATATTTTATTCAATTCATTTGCAGAATCTCTGTGCAATATGTCTGGAGCCCCTCAGCACCGGCAGCGTTGATATTGACAATGGTGACAGGCCAGCAATCTTCACATCACAATGCTCCCACTCCTTCCACTTCCTATGCATCGCCTCCAACATTCGGCACGGCAATGTTACATGTCCCATCTGCCGTGCACAGTGGTCTCAGCTGCCGCGTGACTTGAAGGTGCCACCATTGCTGCAGAACAACCAGTCTGACCCAATCCTCCGCATCCTTGATGACAACATCGCGACATCTCGTTTCAACAGAAGGTCATCCATCCGTGCTGCCCGGTACAACGACGATGATCCGGTTGAGCCTTACACCTTGACCGAGCATGTGGATCCATGCCTTCGCTTCGCTCTGATCCCATCCCCAGTGGCGGCTCACCATCATGCTCTCGGACATTACCCTTGTGGCCGTGTGATGCCACTGCAGCAGCATTGCCAGTACAGCAGCTCCTCCATGCTCTCACCGCCACAGATTGCTTCACCAAGTGGGCAGAGGCGCGCTTACCTCTCCGTCAGTCTCGCGCCACAGCCAGCCATGGACCTAGTTCTGGTTGCCAGCCCTAATGGGCCACATCTCAGGCTCCTGAAGCAGGCAATGGCGCTGGCTGTCTTCTCCATGCGCGCAATTGACCGGTTAGCCATTGTCACAAATGCCACCACTGCAACCCGCGCCTTCCCCTTGCGCCGAATGTCATCCCATGGAAAGCGAATGGCATTGCAGGTCATTGAACACCTCTGCTGTGTTGGTGGTACTGATCCTGTAGGGGCATTGCAGAAGGGCCTGAAGATACTAGAGGACCGGGCGCACCAGAACCCAAGCAGTTGCATTCTTCACCTGTCAGACCATCCAATCCGAAGCTGTTTCGGGGTCGACATGAACCGTTTCAACATCCCGGTTCACCAGTTCCATGTCGGCCTCGGTTTCGGGGTGCAGAATGGCTTTGTGATGCACGAGTTTGAGGAGCTCTTAGCGCGGTTGCTTGGCGGTGTCATAAGCGACACCCAGCTCAGGATTGGCGAGCACGGTGGAGTGGTGAGGCTAGGTGAGCTGAGGGGTGGCGAAGAGAGGAGGATCCCGCTTGACCTGGTGTCGGACTGCGGCTTCATACTTGTTGGCTATAGCTATCTGGAAGGTGGAAGGGAGGATCAGTTCAGGACAGGCGAAGTCGCTGTCGGTTTCGAAGAGAAAGGCGATAACCGGTACTGCGGGGTCAGGGATGCCGGTGGTCTGAGTATCGGCGGTGAGAGGAGGAGCAGCTGCTGCGCCGAGAGATGGGACTACCTTGATCCGTTCATGGCGCGGCGATGGGCGAAGCATTTCAATGTGTATAGGGCCTGAGTTAAAAAGAGGGGGAGCTTGGGGCTTTGAAGTGATCAGCTCAGCAAGTCTGGTTTACCAGTTTGACAGCATATGATTCTTGTTGGCTCTTTATTTTTTTTTTCCTCTCTTAACATTCCTGCAAGCATCTCATGATCATCAGAGGAAATGTTTGCTTTTTTGGCTTTTGTTGTGGATCAGGGATCCATTTGTAAGATGTCTGGTTTTGCATCAGATGTGTGCAATGTGCACAAGGCTTTCTGTTCTCAATCTGTATGTGTGAATCGGACTGTGAACAAAACTCAGCACAAAGAATGAAATATGGCTGCATTGGAGTGAGTTATTTTAAAAAGAAAGTGACATGCTGTTTTTCAAAGAAATTTAACAAATATGATGCGTTATACTAGCAATTTGCAGGTTTACTGGTCTCTGATATTTCATTGTAATTATTGAGCTGTCATTTCTTAAATTTGATTCATATTTTTTTAAGAGGTTTGGTTTCATATTTTCATGCTCCCTTGTACTCTTACAAAACATTGATGGGTTAATCAATCATCTTAATCGAGTTGCCCGGGCGATGGACGATCGACTCCTTTGGATTCCGGATTAGAAGGCAGTTATCATAATTTGAGGAATCAATTACTCAAAATTACATAGAGAATTGTGGCATGGAAAAAGGTTAAAAAAAAGAGGTGCCACGTTATATTATTTTGGATTTAAAAGAACGTATGGTCATAAAACTTTGCGCCCATAGCACCTGAGGCTCAGTGCCACATGATGCAAACATGCAGTTGTTTTTTCCCTACGTAGACAACAAAACATATAGGATTTCTGAAATTTACTCTAACAAAAATATGGGTCTCGACTCTCGAGTCACAAAGTACAATACAATTCAGTTCAAGCGGCCAGGACATTAATAAAATTGAAGTTACAATCAGGACCCAAACTGCTGTCAGAAATGCAGATCAGAACTCGGAAATCAATCTACAATGAATAGTTGGTGACGGTAATCTGCTAACCATCAGTTATGTGCTTTCAAAGCCAAATATTCGGAAAACACCTGCAAAAAAACAATAACCGGTAAGAGGGTTAATTGAAGCTATTTTTATAATTAATACCACTTCCATTTTGGTTTAACTTTCTCTCTTGTTGTGTACTGAGCAGTTGCAGAATTATATACTATAAATGAAACGCAAGTCTGAAACAAGTGTATCTGAAGAAAATGAATTCACTATCTTGTAGCAAGTCAAATGCCAAGCTAGACATTTCTTTCATTTGGCCGAACTAAAATGAGTGAGCAGCAGCAATTGTACCTTCATCAGCCTGGTACTTGTTCTTGTCGTCTCCTGCGTAAGCCAGGAGGTTGTACTTGGGGTTCCATTCAACACTATTCATAGCTGCCTTGCATGGAATCTGATGAATCGATCGTCCAGTTTGAACATTGGCCTGATCGAAGGATAGAAATGTAAAAGAATTATTATTTTTGGTAACAGCTAGCTTAGGATCATATTAGAATTACAGTATGTTGAACTACTCACAATGTCAATGAAGGGATCTTCGCTAGCATATGCAAGAAACTCTCCAGTATGATTGAAGCTAACTGTTCTTACAGGCCACCTGGAAAAAGAACAAAAAGAAAAGATGAAGAAAGTACATGTTTCTAAGCATCTTGCAACTGAAGGTATACTCTAATTAATCTTTGTTTCTTTGAATGACTATTTCCAATATGAGGTGTGGAGAAAATAGCAAAATTAGCTAAACATAACTTTTTGTCCAAATATTCATGGCAATATTTTAGATACATTGGAGAGAAAAAAAAAGGTATGGTTTAAAAGCAGCGAAACATACTCGAGTTTGGTAAAGGTTTTAATGCAAAGGAGCTCTTTGACATCCCAAAGACTGACAAGTGAATCTGCACTTCCAACAGCAAAATACCTGGCATCAACACATTCTGTAAGTATCCTTGTCAAAATCATTTTAAGCTCCATTTAGGGCTCAAAGAAACAAAATATTCACCAGATAATTGAGAACAAATGTACAATACTTTGGCATAGCTACACTAATGCATGAAACATGTTTGTATACCACTATATCCATGCGAACAAGAACATGATACTTTTCCACAATAAATTTTGTTGAGGTTCATGTAGCAGCTCAAATCTCCAAACATTAACATGAAGACTTGCAATGGTGTATAGCAAATAATCCATTCTTTTACATGGAGTAGAAGGCAACAAGTGGCAAACTATTTTGCACCCTTTCTTTTACATGCTAGTAAAGGTGCCTGTTAGTTGCAACGGGAGATGGGGGAAGGACGTGCTATTCAGTTTTTCTATCCCAGTTTTTTACCAGTGGGGCGTTTTTATATGTGGGTCCACTTCTTTTGGAGGGCTGTTTTTTTTTTTCTGCGGGTAAACAAAACTTCACTCCTGATAGGAAGCATGCACAGACGAACGAAACTTGCCTTTCAGAGTAGTAGAGAAACACTGAATTCAGTGTCCCATTTATATTTAGGCATGGGTCATCATAGAATCACTTATGGCTAGGTGCTATCACAGGTGAGATTCACTTAAAGGTAGCTTGGACAGAAAGTTCTTTTTTTTACATATACCAGTATCACTATCAACTGTCAAAAGACCGAGATAGAATACAACATTAGTAATACCCAAAATATAGTATGTCAAATAACTTCACTCATGCCTATGCTTTATATTACCTTGAAATAAAAAAAATCGTTAACTACATAAAACAACTAGCATCAGTATAAGGCATTAAGAGAATTAGAGTTCAAAGCGAAGTCAAACAGCATATAGAGAACCTAATGATTATAGCATAAAGTTCAAAAGATAATGTAGTTACAATGAAATGTCATTGGCTGAGATGTGAGTTGATGTTGAACAAATGAGCGAAGACAGAAAAAATCATCACCTATCAAGGGGATCCATTCCAATGCAATAACAACCCGCTGTATGAGCATTCAATTTGCCAACCACATGAAGGGTGTCATCAAGGGAAGGATCACCAAATACCTCAACATTTCCTACATAAACAGCAAACAATGTAATTACACTGATACCAACTGGTGTGATATTGAAACTTAAAACAACATATGGGTTTTGTATCTTACCAAGTCCAGTAGTGATGAAGAATAAATCTCCAGTTTTGTTCCATGCAATCTCATTTATCTGAGGAACAACAAATCAATAATTTACTTCAGAAAAGTTAACTGATCTGAGGAGCTATATGATTCATTTTTATCAGTAGCAGGTGTACGGGCATTTAGCTAGTTGAAATAGAAAATTTACAAAACTGCAACATAAGTAATGCAGCAAATGAAATTAAAGTACATCGAATAGTTAGGTAATTCACACTCAGTAGTCAGTACTAATTCAAATACCAGCAGGCAATTTTCCTGTTCCAGACAAAGATGCACATGCTGCCGACTTATGCCCACTCTACTTTTTCTCAAAAGGTATATGACTATATGTGCATGTTCATTCAGAGCAGCGAAAGATTCCAAAAGGAAGAAGAAAATTGCTAGAAGAATGTTTCAACAATTCAAACCTTCAAGTGGAAAGTACCTCATAATTAAACTTAAATTTGTGAAGGGCTTTTAGCTTCCGAACATCCACTATTGTCAACTCATCCTCCTGCAAATCATAGTGACAGCTGTTACTACACTTGTACAATTTTATAAAACTAGAACTCACAAAGTAAACACATTGGTGTACGCGGGACCTTGCGAACTAACTTGTAAACTTTATAAAAATAGGTTTACTACAATTATTATAAAATTTACACACCACTCCCCAGTCCCCATGCTCAATAACACTTTACTAACTTTGCATAGCAAAAAAAGTAAATAATTCCATCTAATTTAGGATCAATATGTATATATTCAAGTGTGTCCATACTGAGCTATGTTGTATTGATACTTATACAGAGAGCATGTCAAACACAAGAATGAACATTGCAATTTAGATGCTAATTTGCCAAATAACTCATCACTCAATCTAATATAAATCAGATTATAGTTACACATTTCTCTTTGGAAAGAATTTTATAAATTCCTTTCAAAATATTGTAACCCTCTTCTGGCATGATATATGCAAATCAAAACCAGTTCCTTAGTCATAAATGACTACCGTTCTTGAAGTTAACAGGGATAACAGCCTAGGCAATACATACCTTGTTTCCAACAGCTATTTGAGTACCACCATGTTTATAAGTGATATTGATGTTTTCTCCACTAAGTTCGACGACTTGACATTTTCCACCTGGAAAAGAACACGTCAAACAGTTTGAGAAATAGCGGGTCAAATAAATAATATAATTTTAAAAGGCAAACTGCAGGCCCAAATCTTGTAGAGTTATAAATAGAGAATCAAAAGTATGATGTACAATCCTATGAAAAAAATCGAAGTACAACTAAAAAAATTCTGAAACTAACTTTCAGGTAGAGTCACTACACAAAAGAATAAGACATCTTGTCTGGTAACAACAAGTTCATTGTAAATGGAACATAGGGATTGAACAAAGTGACAAAAAGGGATTCATCAATTTCAGAGAGAAGCTGAGAATGCTGAACACAACTGTGGATATCTTAGTTCTTTAACCTTCAAAGATGAAGGGAACCACTTACTCCGTGCATCCCAGAGGCGAATTGACTTGTCAGCAGCTGCTGTAGCAACTGTATCAGGATGCTTCGGATCCCAGCAGAGCTGATCTACACAATCTGTGTGGCCTTTCAATTCAATGTCTTTAACCTTGGACTGTGCAATATAAAAACCCTAATCAGCACAGTACTGACTTGGTACTTCCAGGGAAATAGAAACCATCTGGGGTTTTTTCCCCTCCTACGTTCCAACCAAAAATGTCTTAGTGTTCTCAAAACAATATAATTTAGCTTAGAATTTATTTTCCTCAAAACCGCAGGAGGGCTGCGCTTCCTTTCATTAAGAAGAAGAAATAAGTACAACTGAGGGATCCAAAAGAACCCCTAGCTAAGAAATCATTCACAATTTCACATTAAATAGCTCAAACATATGTCTCAGAGACACAGGCTATGGTATGCTTAAGTGTGATTACTGTCTGAGTTTCTATAATTTTAAATTATACAGCGGGAGATATTTCCAATTAATCATCATGCTTATCTTTCAAATTTATAGAAATGTTCATAAAAAAAGGGTGACAGTTATTCATAGTGAATGACAATAAATGCGTTTATCTAATAATTCCATAATAACAATGAAGGTTATTTTGTTTGCAATCAGGAAAGGAGAGAATGTTTACATGGCCATGGGGATCGATACTCCATACACGTGCAGTATGATCAATAGAGCCTGAAGCAAGCTTCATGCCTAGGCAGTTCCATGCTACAGAGTGCACCTAACAGTAAAACAAAAGATCAGAATTATACAAAATTTAAGGCTGATTATGTATGTAAGATAGATAAAAAAGAAGGCAAAAAGCGACAGAACCAGTTAAATGCTGCACCTCCATGTGTGGAAGGATTATTTAGAAAAACAAGAAACAGAATTCAAGAAAGAAACAGAGAAATATCGTTGTACTATGATTCTTTCTGCAAGTAAGATTTTTTTTTCCCTTTGAATTCTTCCCCTCAGAGGAGTAGCAACTTTACAAAGTCAGACAAGAAGTCCCTTTTCGTGAAACCAAATTCCTTCAAAAATTAGGAGTAATTATGACCAGGAATCATATTTGACAATGCGCTCATTCACCAGCTCCCAGAAGGAAAGCAACCAACCAAAGCTTCATTCAATCTCAACATGGCTTAGCCCTAGAGCAAAAGAATCAGCATATATACGGCATGAACGCGAGGAATCAATCACTATATCCTGCTCTAGAATTAGAAACAAAACCGTACGTGTGAACCAAAGATGGATGCATTTTCGTCCTAATTTTTGCTTGTAACATCCGGATTTTAGGGCTTCCCCCTCGCAGGACTTTTGAGGGTTTAGGACCTCATGAGAAAAAAACTTATCCCCGCGTAGGATTGGTGAGGGGGGAATCGAAAAGGTTACCTTCTTCTTGTGGCCGAAATACTCCCTCGACACCAGGTTCTTCAGGTTCATCCCCGGCGTCGAGCTTCCGCCACCGCCGCCCCGCCGTCTGTCGTCTTCTTTCCCCTCCATTGTCCCCGCGGACTGGGGCACGGGTCTGGTTTTGCTATTCCCCACTCACCGCGTCACGAGGCGCAAGGCGGCGGCGGCGGTGGCGGTGGCGGCGGCGGCGGGCGCGAGACGGAGGAGGGAGAGCCGGGGACGGCGTCGGCGGGGAAGAGGAGAGGGTTTTCGCAGAAACGTCCTTCTACTTTTTTGTTTATTCATGCCACAAGTTCATGCGTTATCCTTACCATGGAGCCATGGACACATCCTTTGGTTTTTGTTTAATTGAATCCATGCCATTGTAAATATACCGATAAATGTTATTACAATTCGTCTTTTTTAATTGTGACATTGAAATTTTATAAAATTAGAACCATGCCACTATAGTAATATTTTCCATCCATCTTCGTCTTCTTAGATTCATCTTTCCCCTCTTTTTTTTTCTCATCTCTCTCCACCACCTCTTTGGAGGGGACAGCCGCTGCGGCTGTTGGCAACTTTTTGTGACAAGTCGACAATTACGATCGCAGCACCTAAACGCCTTGCGGTGATATGGAGTCGCCAACCACCTCGATCTAGCCAAACGGCCAAATCAAGATGGGTTTTGTAGAAAAACAGCTAAACCGGCTAGCGGAGCCGATTTAGAGATCAAAAATCAGCCTCTAAGCCGATTTAGATCGATATGAGGATAACTAACCTGTCTCATAGGCAATACGGAAGGTTTTCAGGACAAATCTACAAAGAGGTGTCGCACTCTCGCAGCGGCGGCGGACGGTTTACGGCGCAAACCGACAAAGATGGATTAAAACTAGGGTAAAATAGAAAACATGGTAAAAGAACGATTCAAGTAAATTGTATTCGGGGGTTTTACAATGAACCGGCCTTGTCCCTTAAATAGGGGTTGGTCTTACCCTCTACAGGCCCTTCTCCATATCCAACTCGGGATAGAAACCAAAGGAAACACGAAACCTACCTTCCCAGGCAAGGAAACCCGAGACCCGACGAAAACAAACTCGGACTCGGACCCTGACGGTTTGACCGCCCACATACCTGCGGTCAGACCGGCCCTACTAGACGGTCAGACCGCCCACACACCTGTGGTCTAACCGGCCCTGTGAAGGAAACCCGTCACTTTCCAAACTTTGGCAATTTTCCTCTATTTCGTCCATAGGTGCCAAATTTGGGTGTAAACACATGCCCCCCTGCCTTTTTTGTAAACATACGTGAACCTAAAAGCATAGAACATGTTATGTCAGGGTGATAATCCAATTACCGCCCATAGGACTTCCTAAGCATCTTGCCAAATGCTCGGGAAATATTTCTTCAAGTATTTCCCATTAATTGCTCTCTGAAAACACCGTCTTGAAGTGTCTTCATCTCCTTCAAAGTCTTTAAACGCTTGTCGATGACGTCTTTAAAATTGTTTCCCATCAAGGTCTTGTAATCTTCAACCGACAAGTCGTCTTGCTTGAAATACCGAAGAGAGCCAAGATTTACCCCAACTGGCAAAACGACAATTTCAACAATGTTTTATTACTCAACTCGGCTTATCCATTAGCCTGAGCGTAGTAAAGAGAAGAACTCATCAACTTAATAGCATAAGATTCGGCAAAACTTCTCACTCCGTACAAGTAATATTCTCGAGCGGCACGGCTTCGGCCCACTTAGTGAAGTAATCCATTGCAACTAGCACGAACCAACGCCCTTTTGATGACGAAGGATAAATTTGACCAATGAAATCCAAAGCTCAACCTCAGAACGGCCATACTTTAATGATAGGATTCAACACAGCGGTAGGCGCTAATTGAACATTGCCGATCCGTTAACAAGCTTCACTCCCTCTATAACATTTGAAACAATCATCAATTATTTTCGGCCAATGAAACCACACTCTCCTAAGCAACCAATTTATCTTACGGGCCGATTGATGAATTTCACAAATCCCTTCATGTACTACTCTCCTAGCAACTTTAAACTGATCATTATCTAAGTAATACTCCATCTATTTTTCGGCGATATAATATTTGAGCGCTTGCCGCCGAATCTTCTGATCAACCTTAAGTGTAGGATCTTCAAATATCTAATCGAAGGAATTCTCCAAGCTATTTCTAACTCATGGGCACAAATGTCCGAATTCACAATTAATTCGGCCTTTTAATCAATTGTAACGTGCCCCCCAGCTCTCGGCCCGCTATCGGTCAGACCGGCCACGCAATGCCGGTCAGACCACCCTGTCTGTCCGGTCAGACCGGCCATGTAGAGCCGGTCAGACCGGCCGTGCAATGCCGGTTAGACCATCCTAGGTCTATGACTTTGCCAATTTCGTCCAAACTTTTGAAATCAAGCATCGGCCTTTAGTATATAATTTTTCTTCACATAATAGCCAAATGCTTGGTGTATCAAATTATTGGACCAAAATTCCTTCTCTCTAGATATATGAAAAATTATAACATTCAACTAATATGTCTAGATGAATACTAATTCAATTGGCTTTTGAAACAATAATCATCATGGCATCACAACACTTAGCCAATTGAAGTATGATCAATAATGAATCACCAAAGTCATATGTGCCACATGCATAGATTCCAATAAACTAAAAATGTAAGTAATCGGCTTGAGCATGTATGCAAAATATTAATAATGCCAATGTTCCTAAATACAATAACTCTAGAACAAATCATGACACTGACCATTGACATTAGCCGAATTACTAATAGGCAAAACTTTCATGGTGCAATAAATATGAAATCTATATCTTATATGGTGATCCATAAAAAGACATATGATTTGGCTTTAAATAAATATCAAAGAGTCATGAGCCAAGTCATACTTCAAACAAATTATATGCCAACCTACCAATTCTACTACCTAGAACTGGCATTCGCAACATGTATGTATAATATCAATTTGATAAGCAAAAACACACATGTGCTAGATAGCAAGCAATGTTCTAACATGGCATAGGCGTATAATATAACATTGAACACAATAAACCCATACCTTGCCTTAGCATCTAACAAACGGCGGCTCAAAGATGTGATGTTGTATCCATCGCCGTTCATCTTCTCTTGGTTCCCTCATAAACATAATAATGTCTTGCCCCCTAAGCAAAATCGGCTTTCTCGACTGCACGATTTCGAAGGCAAGACGAACACCGCACCAACATCCACAGCATCATGTGAAGGAGACTTATCTCTAATGACCGATGATTCTTCTCTCATGAAATTGGATTTATCACTACTATGGGAAATCACCGGTCTCTTAACTTTTACTTCTTTAGGTCTCCACACTCGCTTAGGTGTCGTTCGAGGATCTAAATTGTTATATGTTTTGTTCTCCACATCTTCGGCCTCCTTTTCCTTTTGACCTATGGCCTGGAGACGCTGTAGCCTCCTCTTTTGAGAGCGAGATAGGCCAGAAGGTATCCACTTCGGCTGTGGTTGTTTTCCAGGAGCTAAGCAATGATTCTTCATATTTTTGGTCGAAGTGGAAGATCCTATGTTGTTCTCAATTTTCCCACTCTTCTCCAATGCTCCCCGGTCAGACCGGCCACAAGCCGTCAGTCAGACCGGCCAGTAAGGTCGGTCAGACCGGCCGTAGACTGGCGGTTAGACCGGCCAGCTGTCTCGGTTAGACCACCAATGTTGATAGTCACGGCGTCGGCTTCGATCTCCTTTGCTTGCGTGGTTTCCACCGTATCTCCAGTAAGTACATGAACATCTTGAGACTCCTCTTTGACAGCAATGACCCCCGGAGCTTTGGCTTCTTTCCTCACCCACACCTTCTTCACCTTTTTCACCTTTGATCCACCGAACCGATTCTTTTGTGGGAAATAGTCTTGTCTTGAATTAGATGAATGATTTGGCACTGTCCTAGGTGATTCCTTCCATCCTTGACAATACGGCATAGGTGGTTGATGCATCCATGGCATATAATACAAAAAAGGATAACCATATAGTGACATTGGATATGGATACCATGGCATCACAACCGGAGGTTTATATGGAGTTGGTATGGTTGATGGCTCCGATTGCTTTGATGTTTGACCAAATCTCTTCCTATGAGATGATCTTGGTCTTTTCGAATCACTAGTTTAGTTATCAAATCGTTGACCAGCTAATCCTTTCTTGTATTTAGCCATAAGCATCTCAAAAGTGAGCTTCGGCTTTTTAGTCTTTTGGGAACTAGATGACTCATCTTTTGTAACCTTACGATCTTCAGCCTTTGCATTATTGATCCTATTCTTGGGCCGAGGATCCCCAATAGCAACACTTTTCCCTTTCTTTTTGTCAACACCAATAGGACTAGTAGGGAGAGAACTATTAACAATTCCGGTCTTAGGCATAGGTGTAACCGAAATAGTTTCACAAGTGACCGATGAAGTATCATTCGGTCTTTACTCCATCAAGCTTGCATCTCTGAAATAATCATGAAACTCATACTCCATTTGTGACCATGTAGAAATTGAACTAGGAGCAAGCAAACTATACCATGTAGATGCAAAGTTTGACAAAGAAAGGGGAAACAACTTCAACTTAAGCAAATCATCACTACCGGCCTTACCACATTGATCAATAAAGCGACCGATATGCTCCATTGTAGTCATAGCATTCTCATCTGTGAATTTCGTGAAGTTGGGCACCTCAAATCCTTGCAGGTATGGGACCGAATCTACGTGTTTAGGATACAGTCTTTGATATGTATGCATAGCTACTTTGGATTCTATTTCACCACTATCCCGCAAGACATTGTCATCATCTTTTCCAACATCCACATGACCGATTTGTGACTCGGTCTTAGGTGATAATGCTATTTCACTTTCGCTTGTGATATAACCTGAACCGTCACTTAGTTCGGCTATATTTTCAATGATGCTATTTTCTAAGCTAGCAACACAATCCGAACCATTACTTGGTTCGGCTATTCCATCGTTGTCTAAACTAGTAACACAATCCGAGCCAACACTTGGTTTGGCTATAATGGTTGTTGCATTATCATCCAAGCTAGTAAGACAATTCGGACCAACATTTGATTCGGCTATACTTGTCACGACATCATTGCACAAATTATTAACACAACCCGAACCATCGCTTGGTTCGGCTATACATGATATTACACTTTCATCTAAACTAGCTTGTAAGCTATTGTCATCCACTCGGCTTTCCTGAGCCAAAGCTTCATGCAACACATGATCAACATCAAGAAATATTTGGCCATTCAATCTCTTTTTAATAGAATCAA